TTCGCGATACATACTGTAGATATCGTTTTAACGTTTCACTGAAATTGTCGATATCCTTTATTTGCCATAGCTACTAAATTAAACGTGTTATCTCAATTTTTTTGCCCTAATTGCACAAATGTAAAAGGAGGTCGCGTAAGATATTTCGGAAATCTCTGTCTATCACATTAGTCTCACAGATATGAATTTATTTAAAGCGTCTCTTTATGCAGCTTCAGATTTAATTAACGAGTATATTTCCAAAGTATACAGTCATGTGTCACGCGCATGACGTGAGACCGTAAAAAAAATGGTGATCAAGAACGCAACGAAATCAAACGTTCGCGAAATGACAGATGTAAAGATAATGAACAAGAGAGCGAGAATTTTGATATCGAGTTTCCGTCAGATACAGCTGTTCCGAAAAGAGCGAAACCCCTTTTTTTCGCTCTACTTCGCATCATATTTCAGTCAAAATCAGAGTAAGATATTTAGCCGGTGTTTCGAGATATACGATCAGTATATCTCGATCTATGATTACATGCGCTCGGTATGAGAACCGGAACACGTTCATGTGTTGTTAATTGACTCGTTCTGCTCTAGCACTTTTTCGCTCGTCCCCTTTGTTCGCTCGCTGCTTCTGACATATGTTCAACGAATTAGCTATAAAAATGCAGATGATCAATCATATGAGCGATACACTCGGGTACCTCTGGGTCTCGCTATCAAACTCGGTTTATGACGTGCACAGCTCAAACAAATACGAGTGAAAACGTATCGAAGTTTAAAATCAATGAAATATTACGGGATCGCGATGCAGATGTTTTCACTGACATTTATATCGGATGCTTCCGAAAAAAACACTAATAAAATTATTATTATTATTTCATTCCTTTGTCAGTAATAAATTGATTGGATAGTATTTTTCATAATACTGGCAGTGTTGGTATCGATCGAAAAATCTGGAACACATTAAATTTGTAATTTGTGGTCTTGTAGACAGGCGTCGCACACTTTTGTGACTATAGAAAAGTTTTTTAATTTAAGCAAGTATTGGAAAAAAATTGCAACCACGTATACATAAAGCTAATCTCACACATCTATGAATATATTTGCGTAGCAAATAGAGTTACATTATAAACTGACGTGTATAAAAATTATATCACCGCTAATATCCCAATCAAGTTATTAATTTTTTTCGACAAACTCGATGGGTTAACTTTCACAAAAAGTAAAAGTTTGATCGGAAAAAATGTTCAGCGCACAAATTTTCCTTTTAATTGGCGAACGATAGTCGATAGGTGTATATATATCACGATTTATTAAGAGACGATTCCGTACGTACTCTTGATCGCGGTTAGAGTATTCCGAATAGGATCGAAGATGAATCGGATTTTAAATTGAAGATTTGCTCGCTCACTTGCGCCCACTTACTCTATTAATTCTGCCGTTCGCCGGAAAGCGGTTATTCTCGTCTGGGCTCGATCGCTATATTTTCTACGGGATACGATCTTTTAACTCCAGTCCGATTCGTCGTTCGAAACTATTATCAACTGGCCTGCTATTACGTACTACCTTCCTCTCTGAGTTGAACGGGCTGCCGTGGAGTCGTAAATCGTATAGGAGACGATATACGAAACCGCCTCTCCTCGTCGTCATCGTCATCTCGTTTTGCTTATCATTCATAATGTATAACAGTCATACATAGGTAATGACGGGATGTCTCCTCGATTGCGCGGACGAGCGGGATGCGAATATCGGAGCAGACGCGAATTCACGCTTCCGCATTCCTTATTCCGCCGTCTTATCATTCTTATTATTTTTAATAAAGAATACAATTAGATATTTAAAGACAAGGCTCGTGTAATATTATAAAATTAAGATTTAGAAAGACAGGGCCAACTATAACGAGCATATTAAATTAGTGAGAGATGTAATGTCAACACATAATTAATTTATTTCTTAGTAAATACAATGATAATAAAAAAAAATAAACTGTTACCTCAGCCTTCTTCAGTAATATAAAAAACTTAAAAAAATTCTTTTAAGTAAAATTATGACATTTACGCATTGGAGTCTATTTTTTAATGAACCTTTGGTTTGATGAGTCAATAAATTTAAATTGGGTTACGCTTATATTCTTATTATTATTAATGACGAAACGTCATTGTTTTCTCTCTCTTTCTCAAACTTGTCTCGATGGGCGTCCGCAGGGGGCATCGACCCTTCCTTGAAATCAGTCAAAATTAAGCATTTGCTCCTCGTGAATAAACACTGGAATTTATTTTCAGTTTTATTTCATATAAAAATATTCAAGAACAAAATAATACAAAAATTCAATTTAAAAAGTAAATCGTAGTAAGTTAAGGCTCTTATTAAATTATAATAAATTTTGATAAAGGCTGTTAAGAGCGGTAAATATAAAAATTCAAATTATGTTAGAAAGTGAAGTCATATATAAAAATAATATTCTTTAATCTAAGTCTAATAATGAATTACAATATTATGTCCAATTCTTTTTTGTCACCTTTTATTGTAATTCATTATTAGACATTAGATTAAAGAATATTATTTTTATATATGACTTCACTTTCTAACATAATTTGAATTTTTATATTTACTGCTTTTAATAGCCTTTTCAATCAAATTTATTAAAAAATTAAGAAACAGATAAAGTGTCCCTCCCTGGCAAAATCCTGCGAACGCCCATGCTCGAGGTGATAAATCTGTATTTGCGAATATATGAGAAAACTATCGTTGTATTGGATTCAATTGTTGGGATCGAAATTCTGTATACGGTCCGTGCTTACGATCCTTTCTGACATATATGCAAGATCATTGCTCGAGGCTCGTGATTACGCGACGAGATTCTCGTGTATGCGTGACTCTCGGTTGTACAAGGTCCTCGTGACACGCAAAGTCTTTTCGCATGACAGGCCCTTGCGTTGGTGACCCTTTGTGGCCGCCTAGTTTGCCTTATCGTGGAGCAGCCTCTATACATACACACACGTTTACGGTTGATGCACAGGATGTCGCAGAATTTCTGCCATTTCCCTCTTAAGCGCAGACTATAATTAATTAAAAAGGTTGACGACACGCTAATATGTGCTTTCAGATGCGAGCAACTAGATAATGAATTATTATTTTTTTACTTAGTCTATATAATTGTAATTTGAGGCACGCAGCTAACGAGACACTTTATGTTAAAAGGAGTAAAATAACGTTCAATAAAATTCGAACTTGGATCGAAAGAGAATTCACAGAAGGTAGGAATAATTTTCGGTATTTTCGGGACACCTTGTGTACGTTCAGGTACTCGACGAATCAGAGAGAATATCATGAGGATACGTTGACGTGGCTGGTCTCGGTGGCGGTAAGGTACAAACGACAAAGTAAACAGATAGCGGGAGACCGTGCCCAGGAGAGAAATGGAAAAGAGAGAAACGAGCGGAGAAGACAGAGAGGGAGAAGGAAGGAGCAATAAGTGCATTGCAAATATCGCGGGATATTTGTTCTGTCGATGGCCGGGAAAAGAAACGAGATCCGAAATGCGCGCGATCGACTCCTTCCTTCTCTCTCTCTCTCTCTCTCTCTCTCTCTCTCTTTCTTACGTCCGGCCGCGTTTTCTTTAAACGAGTGTGGCAAACGAGTGTGTACACACTCGTCGGGGACCAATACAGGACGACCGCACACACGGGACCCGGTATTTTCCCCGAGATTCGAATAACGAATCCCGACGTTTATATCGGATTTCGTGCAAATAGTTCGCGGCGCAGGTTACAGCAAGTAGCGCCGCAATTTGCCTCGGGATCGCGGAGTTTACTCTGTGTTACTTCGGCGGTGAGATTTCGTACAAACACGCGGGTTTACCTTCTTTGAAATTTACATTCACTGTAAATTCCCGGTCTTCCTCCCTCTCGTTGTCCCGACGAAATATTAAATCGCAATTTTAACCCTCGCTGAATCGCAGTAATCGGAAAGCCCTATATAATTTTTGGCGAGATGGAGTTTTAACGCCGGCCTCTTCATCATGATGTATTGTGAGGAGCCTCCATATGCATGATAATATAGAGTTCTTGCGCGCATTGATACAGGGAGGAGAAATAAATCTAAATAAACCGGCTTTAGAGTAGAATAGAAATGAATCGGCTTTTTACGACGCTCGGATTTCTCTCTCTTTCTCGCATATCTCATACAATAACTGCAGACTAAATCTGATTGTGAGCCTAGTACAGTAATACTTGGTATTACTTTAAGAAGAATATACGACACGATTTAAACTCAATGGTTTGTAATTATCCTTTTTAATTTTTATCTAATTTTTATCTAATTAAAAAAACAGTTTTATTTGTACTCTGTTTCGAATATTAAATTGTTTTTGCGCTTCAATGTATTTACATAGTAACTGCATAGCAAACATTTTGATCTCTGCCGGATTTACATTGATAATCGCAATAATGTAATAAGAATTCATGCGAAATTTAAATTATTACGCATATTATATTATTGAAAAGAATAATCGATGGAAAAACGTGTGAAAACTCACACATGCGCGTCACAGACGTTTTTCCCGTAGATTAATATAAAGGAAAATTTTAATAAGGAAAATTATTCTGAAAATCTCATTTACTTTAATAGTAGAATCTGTAGAATCTTCCGTTACATTCTACGCTATCTCTGAAACGGAACAATTGCAGCAAAATTCTTGATTAAAACTGAAAGTGTCTGTAATTCCATACACAAAAGATAAAGCAAAACAAAAGGAAATCTCAGCATACCGTTACAACATATTTAATTGACCGAAATGAGATGGTGACATTTCCTCAGAATAATAATTGCACAAGAGGAGAGAAAAATTGTTTCACAAATTCCAAGAGAGGGAAAAAAATCACGATATTTTTTTCCCTCGAATTTATTTGGACATTTGAAAATCGAGAGATATTTGATCGCGATAGATACATATAATATAGTTACAATAACATAAAGGATGTTCAGTCTGTTTATCGCGTTGATTGCTCCATGTAATACACACAGTGTCTCTTTTGTTCGCAGGGTCGACCCGGCGACAAAGGACAGAAAGGCGAGCTGGGCAGCCCCGGATTCGACGTCTTGTCCGCAGTGAAGGTATCTAAGCTACGCTATCTGACAGGAGTAAAGCAATATATCCGTCAGCGCAATCGTAACGTGAAAATGCGTGCCGCGCTTTCTCACTCTCTCTCTCTTCTCTCATTTCTCGCCCTTCAGAGAGCAGCAATCTCGTAAAGCCCCGGTGTGTACGGAGGCGAGAAGAATACGGGATAAATTATGAAGAAGAGAGAGAGAGAGAAGGAACGGCACGGATATTTTCATCGCGCGTAAAGCTACAAATCTCGTTTCACGTGATAAAAGTGCACTCGAACGGAAACGTTATTAACGCCTTCTCGATCGCGTCGTCAAAGGATCGGCGATTAATCGAATAAATTACACGAATTTCGCGATTTCAGCCCGAAGAATTTCAAATATCGGGAGCGAAGAATTTAATGTCACGACACGGGGTCGCTACCTCCGAGAGCGATCCGACGACTAAACGAGTACTCTTTTATACTTGACGGGAAATCTTATGATCGAAGCTGCCCGGTTGGCTTTCGATTCGCCTCTCACGTTCATTCGCGATAATTCAATCTCGGCTTTGCGCGCGCGAAGGCAAAATTTGTCAAATTATCCAAGTACCGCGGATTCATCTCGATGACTCGAACCGTGTCACGGTTTTATTTTAATAAGGCTTTTTCTCGAGATCTCGAGAGGACGAAGCTTATTCATCCCGCTCGAGCGCACTTGCGCGCGTCGTCGTCGATTCGCGCGCGATTTCTTTCCCGCAATCGGGACGACGAGTATAGAGGGCACTTGCTCTTGTCGCCCTGTCGGCTCGAGAACCTTGATTAGTCCGGCTTCTAGTCCTGGAAATCGACGAGCGACGTCGGCGATTCCATTGAGAGGCGCCGACGCGTGTACGGCGCGTCCGCCCGTGCACATGCATATGCATATACGCTCGATGTCCAGGAGCGAAACCGCCAGAGAGGTTCTCGATCCGGCGCAACACGCAGCATATCGATCGGTGCGTTTGCCGCGCGCCGACGAGCGTGTTACGCGCGGAATCTGTGTGCGAAATTTAGAGGCGATCGACGAGCGAAAATCATTCTAATCTAATTTATTTCCGCATTTCGCGCGGCGTTTTTACAAATTTTTGTAATAAAAAGTGATCGGCAAATTATTCGAAAAGTATCAAGATAGATATTTCTTTGAATTTTCTAAATATATACGATCGGCTGTTTTGCACACGTGACTTTCTGACATTCGTCCGAATGAAGAGAAAAAAAAGCAGCAAACTCCGACGTCTGTTTCGCGCACGGATTCCGCTTGTCGAAAGAAAAAAAAAACGGAATTACACGCAATCTGTTTGCCCGTCGACGCATCGACCGCCGGCCAACAAAACGCAACCAATGCAGAACATCGTAGTAGTATATACGAGAGAGTAAATAAATAAACTTTGCCTTTTTCGCCTACGGGTCAATGCACAGGGATTGGGGTTAAAGAGGTCGGTGACGACGCTCCGCGGCGGGACGCTCGGCTACGCGGAAATCGTCGCCCTCAAGGTAAACCGGCCTTTTCCTCCTCGGAAGGCGCGACACGATTCTCGGTGTCGCGATCCGGACGGACGTTCTCCGCTTTTCCTTCCTCCCGATCGATCTCCTCCACCCCAGCTGTTTTTCTCCCCGTCTCGTCTCATCATTGTCACAGTATTTTGTCGTCGTTGCTTCTTCTCTTCTTCTTTTCACCCATCCCCTGGCTATCCGCCCCCTAATCTACTCCCTTTGTTATACCATCTCTGTCTGTCAGTTTTGTGCTCCGCGTGCAGGAAATCCGCGCAGTCGTCGCATACAATCCCGGATGCGCGACAGGTCGGATCCCAATCGTCCCAATCGTTCTCTAGCTAGTCGTTGCCTCGTGCGGTGCTTTCGGTGTAGCGTTCTCTCGTTGGTTTATACAAGATAAAGCGCGCCGTCGATATACTCGATCGTCGAATGAATCCTTTTTCTTCGTTCAGCTCCTCCGATATCTCTCGATTCTGATTTAATTACAGTCTCGGATTGCCTTGAGAGACTTGTATACACTGTTACAGGGTAAGTAAGAAGAAGCTCACGTATAATCGAGACTGTGTCGACAAATATTTGTGTTATACACGACCGAGATAAGGAGAAATAAAAGGAGCGAATGACGATCGATGTTATCGGCGACGCGCTTTCTCACTTTGGTTTTTGGTTGGTAATGGTGTTTACTTTAAGTTACAGTATTTAGGTATATCTCTGGGCATGCCTTGGATTCGGAAGAGCAGTGAAATACGAGAACCCGTCCCCTTCCGTCTATTCTCGCCCCTTGAAACCAAAAGAAAAAGAGTCCTCATAGAGACCCTCGACACGCTTCCCGCCCGAATAAGATCACACACCTCTCCCCTTAGCCCTCCCCCTGTTTTTGTCTTGTAGCGATTTGGTTTTTTACCCGTAGTGTTGACCTACTTTTAGGATCTTCAGGAGAAAGGGGTTAATATCTCAGCGCAGAACATCATACCACTGAAAGTAAGTGCGCCTGCTCTTCTGGAGCTCCCTATTCCTTTGCCCTTTATCGTCGATTCCTCGAAGAATGGTGCTCGGTTTGAATTATGCAAGAGCTTTTAAACGATAAGCTTTTGAAAAAATAAAGCTATAGTCCTTTAAAGAGTATATATCGTTATTCAATCGTTTGTAACTTATTTTTCCAAATTCCACTTCTTCGATTACATTGACGTTACTTAAATCGCCAGAAAAGAATCGCAACGAAAAAATAAACTGGAATATATATTTTTGTATTACACGTGCAGGCAAAGTGGCACTTTGCGTGCGTGTTTTCTGTGCGGAAAGCGGCCGATTTCCCACGTCGCCATCTAGCGGCGATGCGGTGAGTGAATAAGCCGCATTTAAAGCCATTGCCTACGGCTGCACCGCGTTCAAAGTCATTGCCCACGGCTGAAGCCGTGGGCAATGACTTTGAACGCGGCTATTCCCGCACCGTGCCGTCGCAAGATGGCGATCAGCCATCTCGCGCACAGAAAACGCGTACAAAGCCACTTTGCCTGCACTTGTAATACAAAATATCGTGTGTATCGACTCGCCTTCGGCTCGTGCGTCCATTCCCCGCACTCGTGACCAATTGTCAACTTTCCGCACTTGATACACAATATACTATTATTATACTTATTTTTCATTTATCAACATTTACTACGAGAAACTCTCTCTCTTTCTCGCACATTCTACAACATCCTAAACTTGCGCGCAAAAGTAGAAAATGCACCGTTGAAACGAGCTGTCGCGCTCGCAAAGAAATCGCAAAAGTTTCTACACCTCGGAGGAGAATCCCCGGGGTGATTTAATTCCCCCTTTCTCCGAGATTGCGAACTTAGTTCTCGGCCGCCACCGCGACAACCGCGCGCAGAGAGAGGGTCGGGAACGTTTATTTATCGGTCGGGTAATCGAGCCGAGAGAAAAAGAGAGAGAGAAAGCACACGTACTTCTAACTTAACCACGGAATTTTATCACTACGCGTATTTCGCGCGAGAGCCTGTCAACACACGAGCACCCTTCGTTCGCAGGAAGAAACGAATGAGGCGCAAGCGCGGCGGAAGGAAGCCGTTGTAACGCTGTTGAAAAACTCGAAAGAAAGAACAAAAAAATACACACGACCATCTTGTCGGGGATCCGCCGTGCTCGCGCGAGATATCGACATCCGCGAGATTCTCCAGAACCCCTTGCAACAACCACTCTTTTACTTTACGGTTCGATACCTCCGTTCTTTTGCCATCTTCCTCTCACTTTTTTTCTTTCTCTCTGTTTTTTTCTCCACTCTGTCTTTCTCTCTTTATTGGGGTCGTGTACGAGTTATCGCGCATCTCGTATATATACCATCTCGGGCAATCGATCGTAATGCGAAAAGAGAGACCTGAAAAGGTCGCGGGAGAAAAGAATTCGCGCGTCTCGCGATATCCACTTCTCGGGCGAATGTAAATTTTGTCGCGAAAGGCAAACACGGCCTAGCTCTCTTGGCTGCTGCTACTACTTGTCGAAATTCATATTTCTCGAAAGATCGGAGACGCAACGGTATGTAGTTGGAAGTGCCAGTAGCACGATATCCCATATTGTTTTCAGAGAGGAAGAGAGGGAACCGGTTCCCTTCTTGTTTCGTACATCCGTTTCGCGTCTTAGCTAGGTGTGCGGCAGCTTCCACTTTAATTTCACAGAGTATCGTCTTGTCACTCGAAAGACATGATTTTATTAAATGTTGAATGCTGAACATTTTTTCAATTACACGTTTCACGGTATTGAAATGTTTAAAGTGCACTGGAGAAACTTGCAACTTATGTTAGATCTTGATGCGAAAGGAACATATAGAATATTAAACTTTGCTATAAAAAGACATTTCTTTAAATTTTATATTCATGTCATATTTTCCTTACAGCGTAAGGATTTAAAATTTTACTCGGGATATATATATATATCTTTAGATTCACGGAATAAAATGAAAAATTGCAATGATAAATAAGACAATGATAAAAATGTAGACTTCGAAACTTGATGCTCATATTAGTCGGTAAACTGTTGGAAATTTTTAAGATACTTTTTCGAATAAATCTTCCGTGGGCATTTGAATTTTGCATTCAATGCAGCATGCATAGAAGCGTGTCAATATTAAAAAAAACGTACGTCACCGAGGAATACGAAATCCAGGAACGCGCGAGAGAGGAAATTTTGCGCGGGAAACGCAGATTACGTGGTCGCGTAGCCGCGAAAAAATCCCGGCGGGAACGCGAGAGAAATAATAAAATAAAAAAAAATAAAAAAAGGAATTTCGCGACGGGCCGTCGGGATGCACACGTAAGGCGCGAGTAAAAAATGCACGACCCCCTCCGGTCCAGCATGCGAGATATCGCACGCGCCTCTGCGCGCATGCGTACGTGCGTGCGTTGCATGATATACTTTGAAACGTCTGCAGTCTATCCTCTGTCTTTGTGGCATTGTAGTGTGTGCGATGTGTGTAAAGTAAAAATAAAATATCCTCCCCCTGCACGTGGGGATGTGCGCGAGCGATTTATGTATGTGCGTTGTAGATGTTGTGTTGCGTAGACTCGCCTGTGATCGTATCGCAAATCGCATGATCGCACGATAATGGTGTATTGATGTAGCTGTCCGGAATGAATGAATAACTGCTGAGATTTCTCCGATGGGCGCTGGTCGAGCGAAAACATTCGAGCATCCGATATATAATCGCGGGATGATTCGCGCGAGATAGTTTCTCGTGTCGGATTATGTCAAGGAAACGCGAATAAAAAGAAATGTTGCGTGTTATTACGCGAGAGAATGTTGTGGGTTGATTGTACCAAAAAATAGATTAATATTTTTGACAGAATTAAGATTTAAAAAATATGTAGTTAAAACAGATCACTTTTTTTTTTTAAGTAATCATGTATATTTTGCAAGATTATATATAAGCTGCTTTTATGGATACTACGCGATATATTTACATGAAAATATACGCGAGTACCTATCTATCTATCTCCCACAGTGGCAGCGTTAATGCATAAGGGTGACGAAAGTAATGAGCGGTCATGAATTACGATAGCATGGCTCCGGAATACCGGAGGGTTCGCCATAATGAGCTGAATTTCCTTTCTCTATTCACATTGCAGCTAGAATTACGATCGAGGAGTCGATAATGAGACGCTAACCGCATTTAATTATCTTGTTAGAGAATACTATTACATCCAAACATATTCGCAGAATAAGTGTGAAAAGTATGTCACCTTTATGCGTTTTTTCTCTATTTCATTTAGAAATAAAATATTTTCCGCGATTCAATTAGTCGTATCAATACATCGATCAGAAATTGCTCATTAGTTATATTAGAAGATTGAATAAATATTCTACTTTTCAAATAAATTTTTCGAGAAAAAAAAAAAGAAAAAAACTACATTAACGAATCATCTACAATTTCTCGTGCACAAAATCCTTCAAATTCTTCAATAATATGTAACACTGAAAAATTTAATCATTTTGAAACACGATAAAGTTCTCATATTTGTGCTTTCTCTCGCATGAATATTCATATTTGTTTAATTACTCTCGGTGCAATCAAGCCTCGGGATTGGTTTCGGCGAGAGAGAAATGAAAAGGTATAGGCCGCGTATCGATGGTGGACACACATATATTTTTTAATAGCGAAATATGCTGTCCCATCGCAAAATGTGCCCGCGACGATCGCGTACATCTCCGGATACGCGTCTCGACGGGCCATTCCGGTTGAGTTTTCATCCGAGAGGCACCTGCGCCCTCGGAATATGTACATATACATCTGGCACATGCATGCCGTGGACCTTCTCCATGCGTTGCTCGTACGTTTCTGTCCGTCTGGGTACGTATGCGTGTGTGTGTGTATATATATATGTCTCGCTGTACGCACCGAACGACGATTCATCGTTATTTGGCTCGGCCACCCAGCCGGGATGCGTCGCGATTACACGCAGCACGTGCGTGTAAATTAATGCACGAGTGTATGTATTATACGAGTGTACGAATCGCGAACGACGCATGTTGCATTATCGTCTTTCGCGTTGCGTCTCTCGCGAGAATGCACGTATAAACACGTGTCTTCCGCGCGCGTTCATATACGTACGGGGTTGCTTACGCCATCGTGATCGTGACAGAAATTAATTGCTCGAGCGTATATATATGTACATACATATATATATATATATATATATATATATGCGAGGCTGTCTCATCACCGCCGGAAAATGTTATTTCAATGGCGGCGACCTTCGATGAGCGCGCATTCATCTCCCCCGAATGCGTTTGATGAAGAGTCTAATTAATATTTGACCGGGAGCACGCGTTACTAGCGTTTAGTGTTCTATTACACGTATTGACAGCGATATATATATATATATATTTCTCCGTTCCGTCAGATATCGTGCAATTCAAATACGATTATTGAAAACAATATTCGAATTTTTGTGGAATTTAAATATCTGATAGAAATTAAAAAAAAAAAATGTTTCTGTCATTTATTATCGAGATATTTAATTTGAAATTTGTATGAAAAATTCTCGCACATTTTGTCGATTTTTCTGAAATTTTTTTTGAACAAGGAATTTGCTATTCCATTATGATAAAATAGAAATTAATTATAAATTTTCAAAAAAAATCTTTACACATTTATAAAACTGATTAGAGATCATTTAAAAACTTAACTTTCTCGCACGTTTTGTTACGTGTCGTTAAAAATTATTTGATTCCGGAAAGTAAGTGTAAGAACCGCTGGAGAAAGATAAAATATTTCGAAATCACATTTGAACCTGCTTTATGTCGTAATTTTATCCTCGGATCCCGACAATGGACGCCATCCTTTAATAGCGCCTCTAGCCGCATCGGAGAGTTTTCTACATTACGTCGAAAACGAGCGCGTAAAAGTGTCCATAGACGAAAGAAACGATCCTAAAAGCTATCGCGAAAGTATTTCTCTACAGTATCCCGTTACCTCGAGCATCTCCGGGCGTCTTCTTACGAGGGAGCTAATGAAAAATTCTCTCGCGCGCCATCGAAAACTCTTCATTCGTCTTATTACAATATCGAAGTACCTTCTATATCGCGATAATACGACGCGATTAAAAGAAGAAAAAAAATTCTCCAATCGTTATTATTACTCGGTAGATCGAGAAAACATAAATCGGCGCGAAGCAACACCGTACTCGCGCGTACGCCGAGATCTCTCATTTCCATGCACTGTTTTCTCGCGAGTTTTCCTTTTCCTGCGTCCACCAGTCCACATACCTCTCTCTCTCTCTCTCTGACTCTAACTTTGTTTGCCTCCTTCTCTGTCTCTCTGAGTCTATCTATCTTTCATTCTCTTATATACTTCTTTTTGCTGTTCCGCTGCCCTCACACGCTCACCCAAGAGACCGAATACCACGGCTCTTCTTCTCTGTGTTTCCTTCTCTTTCTGTCTCTTTCTCTCTCTCTCTCTCTTTCTCTCTCTCTCTTTTCCCGTCGATCCCTCGTCAGTCCGTGGCACAAACCGACGAGTACCGAGAGACACTCTTGTGTCGAGGGCTCTCGCCGGAGAGAAAAGCCGTAACGACGTAACGCTCTTGGGACGTAACAGGGAGAGCCGGGTGAACCCGGGCCGCCGGGACCACCTGGTCCACCAGGAGCCGAGGGTCTTCCCGGACACGAAGGCAGACAAGGGATTCCGGGCGAGGTCGGCGCGCCAGGAGAAAAGGGCCCGCCCGGGCCGATCGGGCCTGTCGGTCCGCCGGGCACGTCGGGACTTGCGGGTCCTAAGGTGAGTCCGAGAAATTAATTCGCAAGACCGGTTACACACGCTGTATCCGATTACAACATCCGGCTACACCTCCTCGTCTCGCTTCAGAGAGAGAGAGAGGTGTCGGGTGTCGCTCTTTGCGCAGAGTCGAGAGCTTTTCTCGGCCAGGCGGTCTTCCTCTTCACGGTACGACAGGTGCAACATCGTGTGTAAAGGGTGAAATCGTGGTTTTTATAGATAATATATATTAAAGAGGAATCTATTTAAAACATTTTTTTTAAATCTTTATAATATATTACTTTTTTTATTATACAATCTGAAGAATATTTTTGAAAACTCTACAGTGATATTTAAATTTTGACAAACTCCATTAGAAAAGTTTGTAATTCTCTCTTCTTGCAAAAAAGATAGAAATGGTTAAATTGAGATTGCAGCATGATAATTAGAGATAGTGGAAAAGTGATAAAGTAAAAAATAATATTGTTTCTCGTTAAGATTAATTAAAAATATTTGTGACCATGAACATTTCTGGCGTTAAAAAGAGAAATGTAAACGCAGATAAACATAAATAAATTTTATTTTTAAAACTATGTTTCATTATCGTTACATACGCAAAGGCTAAATTAAATCTATTACGAATCAGTCGATGGCTTATGCATCAATAAGCAGAATAATGCGAAATTTAAGCTTAACTTTATTTACTTTCGGAATTATAAAGCACATGTTTTCACGTATGACCGCGAGCTTGTATTTCGACGTATCAAACGTTCGATATTCGTGTTCAAAATTCCACAGGGAGTGATTTAATATTACGGATATATCAACGCAACGGATAATCACGTTATCGTGGAATTATGTAATGATTACGGGCAGCGCGCTTTCAAGTACGCGGTTTGAAACAAATCCGACTAATCTCGCAGGATTTCGGATTTTCCTCAAATTTCAACAGCGTTCGCGATTTCGTTTAATCATACGCGATGAATCTTTCAATCAATGATACAAAAACAGGAATGAAACGCGCGCATTTGTTTTTTCTTTTAAACCGAATTTTTCGAATAAAAATTTTTTCCATCCTATACAAGTTATAGCTTACAGATATATACGTGAATCTATTGTCGAAAAGGGTGTGGAGTTATTGTGCACCGGATATTGTGCACTTAATATTGCGCCTTTCAAAAGGTTACGTAACCGATAATTATTAATGGAATACAACAGAGCGATTATAGAACAATAGAGTATTAATTACGTCCGGCGCATTGTTAATTTAATCCAACTACAATTAATTACTTTCAAAAGCATGTTTCTGCATATTAATTAGCGATGCTTGATACTGCCGCAATAAAGGATCCCATCAAACGGTATCCATTTAGGAGGTGTTTTTTTCCTTCTAATTAACTCATTATTCGCGTAGGACAAAATTATCTCGAAGAGAACGAAATATGAGACGTATTTTATATTTCAGAAAATAATTTATCTCAATAAATAAAGCGCATGAAAATGCAAGAGAAATCACATGCACTAATATACAAAAAAAAATGTACAAATCAACGAAAGTTTATTTTCAATAGGGTGACAGAGGTGATAAAGGCGATCGAGGCTTCACGACGACCTTGAAGGGTGAACAGTTCCCAAGTGGAGTATTCGAAGGCCCACCTGGTCCACCAGGACCGCCTGGTAAGCATACAAATGAGATAATCTGCATACATGATAAATGATTAAACATCACACATCGATTGTATATCCTCGCGCGGAATACGAAAACAGCGCAACATTTTTACGCGTAATCTTCCGTGCAAATGATTTGTTTTGCCGAAAATTTATTCCAGCGAAATATCATGCGATCCTTCAATGTTTGATTGGAAAATCAGAAAGGAAACCATACATGTTGCTTTTGCGTTATTATTTCAACTTTTTATTTTCTCTGCATTTGTAGTTTCAAAAGACGTGCAATATACATATTTTATTTCCTCATTTATTCGAAATGTTATTATAATTTCGACGCGCAAACACAGTCAAACTCATTGTAGGTTTTTGCTTCGCAATACTCTCGTGGATAAACGTTTTTCGCGATGAAACGCGCGATTTGAAATACCAGCGAGAGATCATTAATATTGTGATCGGGACGAGAGAGAAGGATTAAACCGCGATTGTACGCGAATCATTCGGATCGGAAAGCGCGATGACATTCATCTGCGAATCGATTATCTCCGGGCAGCGTGACCTCGGGCGAAGGAAATACGGAAATGTTTAACGAGGAAATCTTGACTTGAATGATCGTGCAATTTCTCGAGGATCGAGAGGCGCGATCGGTCGTTCGACATGCACATATATGTATTTCGCTGTGTGTAGTAATATATGCAGTCGTGAACACATTTCTTTCCTTACCATTCGCGAACGTCCTTTTTTTCTCTCTGTCTACGCCACTCGTCCCGAAACGCACGGATCGGACGTTAACCCTTCGAGAGTTGAGCGTCCTCGAGGGGAATTGTCCAAAAAACTAAAAGTCGATTACATATAAGAGAATTTTAGAAAGACAAGTTTTAAAAACGTGTATTATTTTTTAATTAAATTAAATGAACTTATTTAAATTTGCTAAATTTATAACGTCTTTCACGCATTAGAAAACTGCAATTAGTTTCCATGAGTTATTTCCATGAAATAATCGTGAAGGAAAAATGTGATCGCAGCTGAAAATCTTTAACCTGCAGGGGAGTTTCTCTCTCAATCCTTAGACACACATTTCGCGTATAAAAGATTCAATCTTGCTTAAAGTTACAAGACAAGAGACACCACGTGTGCACCATTTCTCGTGAATAGCGCAAGAAGTAATAAATGCGCAGCCCTGAGGTACGGCGGCGTTCGCGAGTGGAAGCTGAAGAATATCTCGTCGCGGAAAAACGCGCGCGAGACCCTGGACGACTTAAAAAATTCCGATCCTCCAATATCTCACGACTCGGTCGTTCGTCAACGTTCACACGCCCCTGCCGTTCCTCGTCTTGCAGCAGCGAGAAAATGATTTACGATCACGGACGTATTCAGAATCCGATCTCACTCGCTCGTAAACGGCCGTTTATAGGGCGCCGTGTTGACCATGACGTCGGATATTGGCAAAAGCGTCGCGAATATTAGTTACTGCCTGAGTGACATCATTGATCCGCGAGAGGAACTTATAATCGACTTAAGACTCTTTTCCAAAATTATAAAAAATAAAGAAACACATTACGAATTTTTTTAAATATTTGAAAACAAGATTATCGAAATATAATAGTAGATGAAGGAAAAGTATAATATTAGAATGCAGTGAATCGTGCGTAATGTGAAAAATAAAATTAGAAAATATTTTAAAGAGGGAATGGACAACTTTTAATTTAATTACGAATAAATAAAAAATGAAGAGTTCAAAGGAAATTTAAAAAGATCACGAAGGTTTAATTCCCCCTTTTTTCCGTATACGGACTGAATTGTAGATGAGGAGGCTTTACATCGAGATTCGTTTTCCACACATACAAGAAAATAATCTAGCATCGATAAAATAATTCTGTTCGATATTTCATGCCCGCGAAGACAAGCGCAACGAATATTGCGAGTCCGCGCGATACATTCGACAGAACGAAATTACGTGAACGCTAATCCGTCTTTATACCGTTGTGCGACGACAAGCAAGAAACTAAGGACGGCAACACCGTTTCCGAGCATTATACATGCGCACCTGATAGAATTAATTTACCCACATACATAAATCCGTCTCGCAATTTCACGGCACGGACTCCGCAACGCGGAAACGTTACTGTCGATATTGTACAATGTCGTATTTTAGAATCAGCGCGTTGTGTACTACGACGTATTTACTCTACTCGTTTATGCGATACTCAAATCTCGACTTGTGTGTGCGCGCGCGAAATTTTCTGCAATTGCAAAATTCGTAATTTTATATATAAATAACGTAAAAGAAACAGTTTGTTGAAATATTGTAGATTAAATAGACAAAAAGTGATATTTTCTATTAATACATATATCATACATGTGTTCCTTTAAATTGAAATATGCATATATCATTATGAAGAAAAAATCTTCACAATTAATTGTTGATCGCCAGTGATAAAATTTTCACAAATAATAAGATGCAATTTAATTCGACCAACATCTGGCTATTCATTTATTGAAAATAAGTACACACTACGTTTCGACCCACATTGTGGTCCTTTTCAAGTGTTGTTCCTATTCAGCAATTACATTAATTAAAGTTGTCCTGTCATATCGACAATCTGTTAGCTACTGTCACAGTAGCTAACAGATTGTCGATATGACAGGACAACTTTCATGTTTCTATTTTTAATTAATGTAATTGCTGAATAAGAACAACACTTGAAAAGGACCACAATGTGGGTCGAAACGTAGTGTGTATTATTTTCAATAAATGAATAGCCAGTTTTTGGTCGAATTAAATTGCATGTTATTATTATGAAGAAATGTATGTAAAATTTTAATTTATTTATCACATATATAGAAGCTTCTATTGTGCTACGAAATTATATCCATATTTTAAAAATTAGTCGTGACAAATGTCATTTATTATTAGCAAGCAAACGGACGAAATTATGCAAATATAGAGAAATCTCCCTTTGTTCTGAAATATACAATATCTCGTTCTGATATCATGTTGTTAACTGTCAGTTTTGTCCGTCAGTCAGAATCGAACACGCGATAAATTATATATAATTTCATTGACAGAGATATGATGATTGGTGACTCCCTGCAAGTGAATCCATACGAGACGCTTGACAAATTATCGAATTTTAATTTTTAGCCGTTCGGTCCTGATTGACTTATTACATTTAACATATATTTAAAGTTCGTAATAATTATGTTTACCTGCGTTCGATGCCGCACATTTACATTTTATCGCTTTTAGCCAAGCAACGCGCAATTACTCTTCATAAAGTCTCGTTCGCATAATAATACCTGTCGAAAATCACCGCTGCGTTGCGTTTTCTCGGCATCGACGCGTCCAAATACACTTCCGTAAAGATCGATCACGCGATCCGTCAAACGCCACTTAAGGCGCGGAATGACAGTCGAAGCGGATCTTCGAAAAACCCCCATCGATCCCGGAAATTCCGCGTGCGCGCGGCTCGTTCGCGTGCAACCTTAACGCTCGTATGGTCTCTCATCTTACATATGCACGGCACGCAGGGCCCCAGGGCGAGAAGGGAGAGTTGGGCCCGACGGGACCGCCCGGTCTGCCTGGCGAGAAGGGTGCGAGGGGAAAGCCAGGGAAAAGGGTAAGCTTCAGCGAGGTCCTCCGCCGACCGTCGACCAAAGCAAGACCATCTATCCGATCCATTCATCCGATCAAATCCCGTTATCCATTGATTGAATCCAAACGTGCAGGAAGCAGAAAGAAATTAAAAAAAAAAAAAGAAAGAAAAGATGATTCTCGTCCAATCTGTTCCTCGATATCCTGTTTATATCCCCTTGACCCTCAGTTATCCCTTTGCATCCAGACTCCCGCATGCTGTGTGCATGCTTTGCACGATAGAAAAACGTGTATATATATATATATATATATATATATATATATATATTATATATATATATATATATATATATGTATATGTATATATATATATATATTGTATATATATATATATATATATATATATATATATATATATATAAAATATGTATATATATATCGGGCATTCACGTCCACGAACGTTGATAACCGCATGTTTCTTGACTTGGATGTCACTATCTGGATCTACTATGAGCGAAGCATGAAGTGTCGTAGCTTTCTTCCGTGTGAAATATTGTCTGTTTTTATACTGTGTCACAGTGCCTTTCTAGTATATATGTATATACATATATATACAAGGGTTTTAAAGCCAGCGAAGTTCTCGAGTTTCCGACGCGGCCCCTCTGATTTGATATTTCTGATTATGTCATCCTTAATTTCACGTTTTAATTGGAGGAACGCTTCTCGTGTCGTTCAACGTTTATATATACTTTGATTTTATTGCATTTCGTTTATCTGCTCGTATTTCAATTTTTGAGAAAAATTATAATCTAAAAAATTAATCGAAAATTTAATTTCTATTTTTGTATTAATGCGGCGACATTTTTAACATCAATTATATTAAACTTCCACTTTTTCGGAAAATTTCAATCATCAATCTTTTATTTTATTTAATTTTTTTTTATCGATTAAATAACTCTCTCTCTCTCTCTCCAATTCGGAAGAATAATGCCGTAATTCTCTTTTCTGCGTGAAAATGTTCTTTTTGTCTTTTTCTTTGGTTTCTTTCGCCTTCTTGGTTTCTTTTGCCCTACTTTCGAGCATCGCTGACGTTTCGCGTTTTCCCACGGAATATTAGATTTTGTAATCTCAAGATCTTTCTCTCACTCTCTCTCTCTCTCTCTCTCTCACTCTCTATAATCGAGAAAACGAGTGACTTAGTCGTGCTATGAAATGCTTCAGCCGCGCGCGTGCACGGCACTCCTCACGCAGTCACGCGAGCATGAGCACGTATATATCACGCCGTCACACTTGCATCGTCGAATAAGCTGCAGTTGAACAGCATCATCACCGGGACGGTTACGAGCCGAGGAAAGTTCCTTCGCCGTGAGGCGATTTGTAATCTCGCACTTTTCGGAAATGTTTACACTCCTGTCGGCATATCAAAATAACACGAACACGCGACGATAAAAATATTCATATTTATATGTTCCGTTAAAATTGAAAAGAAACTTGAATATCGTGCTATACATCTCTAATTGGTCGATTCATCATTCATTTCTTTGTCGATTACTGGAACTCGAATAACAAAAGTAATGTCAACAAAAAATATATGAATAACTTTTAAATATGATCGCACGCACGTCCATACATTTAGAATTGAAATAAAATTGATAAATCAAATCAAATTCAGAAACATCGTGCATAGAATATCAAATTCAGGATTGATATTATTGCTTTGAAAATATTGGCTACAAAATATTCTATTACATAGATATTATTTATATTGAAAAACGCAGCTGTTACTTTTTGTTGCCATTTAATTCGCGAAATTGTATATATTTTCTACACATTCGATATTTTTTCACGCTTTTGTCGGAACTTTTCTCGCGCGCTCGTTGCCCGTTCTCCGGAATTGCATACATATACCTCGAGCGATTGTCGGGACTCGTTTTTCGTCCCATGAAATAGAAAAAAAGAGAAAGCAAATAAAGAGTAACAGCAAAGAGAGAATAATAAAAGAACGAAATAACAGGAATAGCAGGAAAACGGAAAGAAAAAGTAGATGGAAAAAAAAAAAAAACGTTGGTGGCAGCAAATAACACGTACGGATATTGTGGTATCCGAGGCTTCTCCTCGGTTCTCCCCTTAACTTTCTTTCGTTGTTATTTTTTTTTTACCCTTCGTCCAAGACGCGCGAGACGTCGATCGTCTCCGCGCTCGCACGCAGCATCACCGGGGCATCTCCGGGGGCTCGCGAACCGCAGGCTGTGTGAACCCTGGTTGGCAAACGAGCAAGCAAGAGGGTGGTGGGCTTAAGCGCTCTCTCCTTCCGGCCGAATTATACACGCCTACGCGTCTAACATCCGTAAACTACCGCTTGGCGTGCGACTATACTACTCTTTCGAGTCCACCGTAAGTATATACGTAGTTCTGCCGAGCGATCGTAACTCTCTATGCGGCTAATTGCAAACGGCGACCATGCGGGCGCATCCTTAAACGTGTTCATTCACGTGGATCGAATCGCGGTATTGGTGAACTTGATGAATTTGGACTAGAAGGTATATACGAGTTGAGTTTAAAAAAAATTTAGAGATTAGCTTTAATTATGTATACATAAACTATGTGCGAAATACTTTATTATAGCTGGCTTGTTAATTGACTCTATATTGACGATACGGTAATTTCCTTCATGCTCGTGGTTGGACCGTAAATTAATGAGACATGTCGGCCTGATTTTGCTGGTTACCAGCGACCACCGTGGCATTTAACGTGTTTCAAACTATTGACTGAAACATGATTTTGAATATATAATTTTATCGATAAAATTATTACAAGGGACATATAATTTTTTAAAAGTTATTTTTTTCACGATATATGATTATTTTAACATAATTTTATTCGTTTTAATGAAATGTTATTGTGGCTAACAAAAAATATATAATTTTATGTTGTTTCTTGCTTTTTATGACAATTATCATTTTTACCGTATATTTTTTTAGTATTTTAACACTTCCGGAACATATAAAATGAGAGAGAAAGAATCTGTTATATTTTCTAGTTTAAATAGTTGAGATCTGCCAGAAAAAGCTATAAATTTTATGAAAGAAATTTTTCATCAAATAAATTCGACTGACATGAAGTACGATTCTTTTTCCTTCTGAAATTTTATACAAAGCAACAATATCAATTTTTAAACATATTCAAGTGATAGATATTTAATATGTAATTAAAAATGTGTTTCTTATTTAAGTAACACAAAATTTGTCTGCTAATTTTATGCATTTGCAAGCGAAAAGAGTTCTATTTAGAAGTTATTATATGTAATTTCTCTCTCGTATTTTATTTTCGGATTTGCATTGAGCCATTTTTTATGGAATGCTTAGTGTACAGTCGGAGAACACTTTTGATGTGAAATTTTTCATGTATAACATTAAAAATGCAACAGAATTTAGCCTAATAAATGAAAAACGAATATTCCATGAATTTCGCGTCTTTTGCTGAAAAAATGTGTCCAATGTAGAGATTAAATTAAATTAACATGCAAGCCAAAGATAATACTTGACAAATTTTAGTAAATTTTACTGCACCAAAAATTTTTAAAAATCTTTTCATTTCACAAGAATATTTTTTTTTTTTTTTCACGACAAGGATTTTCTTAATATAAACGCAGTTTTTCGTTGCTATAACATCGTGAGATATTTTCGCGATCAATGAAAACTTGTGTTTATATGTAAGGAATGGAATTAATTGCAAAATCAACGCAATCTTGTAATGCTACAGCACCAATTGCAAATTTACTAAGTTTCGCGCGCTGAGAATTACCCTTTGGAACAACTTTGCTGGTCGAACCGCGGCGTTAAACTCGCGGATATACATGTCCGCCCGCAATACTTACCTTCGACTCATCGAACCGTAAAATTCGCCATTCGACCACGAAGCAAACTTGCTCGCAACTTCGTCCATCCGCTCCATTTGCCTCTCTAACGAGACGTGGACTCGGGATTTGGATGCGCTGCGTGCGTCCCGATTGCAAAGCCGCGGCCAAGTATATACACTTAACTACAGCTAACATACGTACAGAGTAATCCAAAACCTTTCAGAGATGGACAATTTGTGACGTCGATTTTTTTCTAATATGAAAACTTTTCATCTTTATGCAATTAAATTTTAGCTAATTTTAAATTAATTTTAAATTGATTTTATCGACAAACAGAAACTTCATTTAAAATGTTCATGATGAAGTGTTTAACGTTAAAAGTTTTATAAAATATTGGAGAGAAATCAGCGATTTTTTTCAAATATTCTTGCCAAAGAAAAATTGTATTCCAGATTTATTGTAGCATCTCTGAAATATATTTTTCGTTGAGCATTATATTTCTTTACAACCCCTTTTGGGACAATATATTGATCGCTTGTAACAGTGTGTGTGTGTGTGTGTGTATGTACAGTTAGTTGGTAGCGATCCTCGGCTAGTAGTGTACGTAGCTTGTGTAACTAATTTGTGTTTATGTAGCGAGTAACAACACCCCCACTACTTCTTCCTCGTGTGTCGGTTCGATTCACTAATCACTAATAACCACTACTACCCCTCGGCTTGTTGTTGTGTTGAGGCTCTCGCAACCTTATCAACTGGCGATCGCAAACGCCTGCAGGCTATCGCGTAAGTATTCCAAATCTATCAAAGTATGTAGCTTACTCTGTCGCGATCACGAGACATCTCTACCTACGCTCGTCTACACACGCGCAATATTAATTTTTACCTATTTTTATGTAATACTTTTTTTCTGTCTGTGTGTCTTTTCCCTTATTCGCCTCCTCTCTTTCTCTCTCACAATCTCTCACATTAATTTTTCATTAATACAGCGTTAAATTTCAATTATATAAATTTGTATATTTAATTATAATATTGATTTAAATAAAGAGCTTTATATATTTAATTATAATATAGAGTTGTTAATCATATTTCAAAGTGTCCAAATTATATTGCATAACGTTTCAACGAATAAAATTGAAAATTTTTACTGTCGTCTAAAATTACCAATAAGAAGTAATATGTTGAAAATTTATGGGATATTTTTTTGCGTTTTGCGAACGAGAAACGATCCTATTAATCCAGCGAGACCGACTCTACAGGTTGTAATTATAGGAAGAGATTATATAAATCATACAGATGCTATCGCGAAGCACAAGAGAGAACGAGAGATATTAGTAGTTTCCAATTTTCTACTAAATTTGAACCCACTAACGAATCTTTCCTAGTCGCATGAGTATTAGTAGTCGTTGTCTACGTCAAACACTGATAGTTGTTTCAATCACAAGTGTGTTTAATTGTGTAGTGCAAAAAAAAAAAAAATAGCTGGACGATTTTGGTTCTCGAAATATCGAACGAATAATCATGCAAACTCAATACGAAAATGATTCAACGATACGCAGCGCCAAAATCGTCCGACATCATCGACGTAGATCTCGAGGCACCATCCCATCCTTCTCTCCTTCCTCTCTAAAAGAAGACAGATTAACGCTTCGTCGAAGCAAAAAAAAAAAAAAAAATTGACAGCGCACATGGAGGACCTGGTTGAATCTGACCTTGCAGTGTCATTGTAGGGTTTCAAGGGTGAGAGCGGTGTGACATTGGCGAGAGGTGTTCTCGGCATTCCGGGTCCGAAGGGTGAGCCCGGCGAACGGGGTTACCAAGGCGAAAAGGGCGGCAAGGGAGACGCGGGTTCACAAGGTAGAGATAATACCGTCCAATCGCGGCGGAAAATCGACGGGATAAACGGAGGATAAGCGTTCGAGAGAAAACGATCGCGTCCGTCCTCTCTCTCACTTCGTGGCCAGGACGCGGATTTCTTCGTGGGTCCTTCCCACGAGGATTCGCCGCTCCTCGTCCTTCGTACCTTTGGCCGCGCCTCTCTGCTCTGTGCGTGACCAAAAATTATGGGGATTCGTAATTTTCTCCAGAACGATGGTTAGCAGCGCGATATTTTTTTTTTTTTTTTTTTTTACATCAAATATTTCGCGCTCGCTGCTGATTAATGCTGCTAACCAGTTTTTTTTCCCTTTTTTGGTTGAAATGTATTTATTTTTCTGTTAAATTATATTTATTTTTCAAAAATTTATGATGTGAGGAAAAATAATTTTTTTGACATATCGCTCCATTTCAGTCAATTGCAGTTGATATCTGTATAATTGTATGTGAAAGAATAGGATTTCTCGTGTGGTGTAGGTGTGAAATATCATGTTGAAGGATCCTATTCTTCCACCTGATTATATGAACATACCAGAGAATGGTGCAAGTGCAATGGACACGCGAACATAAGATCAATTCAAAGTTTCTTGTTCAAGATATTTAATGACAAAACGATTCGAAAAGTTCTCTCACGAAACTTGAAAACGACCCAGCGCGTTGGCTTTCGAGAAAAGAATTTGTAGCAACCCTCCTCCCCCTATAATCTCTTTCGAATGTAATACTCCGACTTCGTCTTCCGTGAAAAATCAAAAGTTAAAGTTAATAACTTTCATATTATTTAATATTAATTCATTTGTTCGAAAGATTTAATTAAATGTTTCCTAAAAAACATTACACACGATATTTATTTAATCATTATTGCATCAATATTGCGCGTTTAATGACAAACATTAAAGGATAATAATCGACGCGACAAATTTTGATGAATGCTTTTCGTAATATCAATCAAAGCATCGACAGAAAGTATTTATACAAAAGATATTAATTTATTGACAATATTTCATTGACTGTCGTTTTAAAAGCGACATACAAATAAAACACAATAATAATAATTTGTCAATGCATACAAAGGCATATTGCTGATCAACCACATTTTTAACTCTACAGACAAATCATACAAATTCAATACTTATATACAGGGTGTCCGGTAACTAACGGATCAATGATTAAGGGCGGATTCTCTGGCCAATTTGGAGACGATTTTTCCTTAGCAAAAATGTTGAGAAGTCAATAATTTTCGAGTTATAAACGATTGAAAAAAATGGGTTTTTTGAAAACTAAACGTTTTGAAGTCTAACATAATTACATTCTTCAGTTAATTTCAGATAGAGTTTACTATAATAAATTTTAATTTGAGGCTTAGTTATAAAGATACATAATGACAAATATTGGAAAGTTGTAAAAAATGATGACCTGTTTCGACATTTTCGCTGAGGAAAAATCGTTCCCAAATTGACCAAAGAATCCATTTGTAATCGTTGGTCCGTTAGTTACCGGACACCCAGGATATATATATATTACAAGTCGTCTTCCACGAAGAGAAAACGATACTTAAATCTTAAATCGACAATAAACATCAAGTATTCTCTGATCTCTCGGGAAAAATCATTCTTTCGAGATAAAATAAACACACTAGAAGTATTCCGAGCACGGAGAATCACTCGGGGCGAAATGAGAAGTCAGGAAGTGAAGAAACACAACGGAAGAGAAGAAAGGGGGACGAGGGCCTTTTTGTCTCGCGTTTACGAAATTACGAGAATTACATCGATCGTACGCGCTCGCGCGAATTAATCCAACTTCGGCGAACGAACAACCGGCATCTCACGGCCGGCAAATTCGCTTTTCAGGGCCCAAGGGAGAGTCGGGGTTGCAGGGCTTGCCGGGGCTCAACGGAACCGACGGCGATCCCGGTATTCAAGGACCCCCAGGATTACCGGTAAGTAGGACGTAAATGAGAAATGTTCCCCAAAATCTCCTCGTCTCTCACGATCTTCCCGATGTAATATTCAGTAGACATTACACGCCACGTGTTTCACAAAGGTGGCGAAAATTTAATATCCCTTTCCTTGTCCTACTTTGCATAACGTTATAAAAGCTCTTATTTTATGTTATACATATTATATACATATATTGTATTACGAAGTGCTGAGGAAGAAAATTTAATATAGGAAAATAAATTTATATATATATATATATTACGTATTTAATGATATACTTTTTGGTGTACAAAGACATTTCTCACGCGGTATACATTTTCGTGTAAATTATATATTACCATGAATTTTGTACACTGAGATTTAAAATGCAAGCGCGGAACCTTGAAAATGTTCCCGGAGTTAAGGAAGAGTTAAATCTGTAATATATTTTACATACGTCGCGCTCGTCTGTCTCGCTTCAGGGAATATCCGGACCCAAAGGTGAGAAAGGTGACTACGGTGACATCGGTCCCCAGGTCTTATGGGACCTCCGGGTCTACCCGGCCCACCGGTACGTAAATTGCCCGTAACGTCACGCCTCAACGCGATTTTCTTTCTTATCGTATATTTCGTCTGATGCGATTTTTGCCTGTCGACAGGGCTATCCTGGAATGAAAGGCGAAAAGGGAGAGAAAGGCGAATCGGTGAGTACATTTGTCACTGTTGTTTGCGTTTATCGAATCGCATTCCGCTCGAGATTCAAAATATGGTGCAGGTACCTAATAAATTTCTTGAAAAATTATTATATAAAAAGAGAATAATAGAAGGAAATATATTTTTGAAAAATTATATAAAAATAAATAATAGCGAAGAGGATATAAGGAATTTTACATACGGTAAATTAGACAAAGTTATAAAACATTTTGTTATTTATATAAATTTCAATTTTAATTTTCGTGTTTTTCATATTTAAGAATACAAAATGAAATATGATCTCGTCGCGAAACAATTTCGCAAAAATTCATTTTATTCAGAATCCAGTAAATTTGAACAAGATTCTATTATCGGAGAATCTTGTATGATTTTTCCAGATGAACATCGTGTTTCGCGATATGTACGTTGTCGAAAATACTGTATCTTCTCGATGTAACGTCATATTTTCGTCACAATAACATCCGCGATAAATACGAAACTGCGGTTTCAATAATTGTATGTGTGTGTTAAACAGAATCTGACGATAGAATAAATTTTCTTTTCATGGCGGGACATCGGCCTTCCACCCATAGAAGTACAAAAAGCTTAGACGAAGACAGGTACGTGACCGTTTACGTCTACAATATTTTCATATCCCTTCGATCGTGCGACAAAAGGAGTCGTCCGATTGAAGGAGGATGCTCGAAAAAAACTAATGTTTAATACATCGATATTAATGCACGTGTAAACATGTCAAATTTACATGTTTGTTCGCAGGGAGATGGCACGTTTGAGATGAATGCCGGGGAAGTGGTAAGTTATCTTGCAAATAATCTTACGAAATTATATTCCTCTCAGTTATAATGTCATATAGATGATATGGAAACGTGTCGCCCATCCGTGTAAAGAAATATTGTGAACAATATCGCTTCACTCCGTAGTGTTCGAGCGGCTTTTAAATTTTCGGCCACGTCGCTATTGCGGCATCGACTTTATACCTCGCTATGGCCGCGTTTTATGGAGTTATGTAACCCTTTGCGGCGATTTATGGATATTATAAAGCAATTTCCCCGAAGCGCTGTAAAAATTGTTGAATAAAATCCGTTTGTATTTTCCGCTTTTACGGTATATTACGTTTATCGGTTTATTTTTGAGAAAATAATGTGAAAACACATTATATTCCATCGTAACAATTCTAATGGATTTGATGGACACAGATTGTAAAATCCAAAGTTTGTAAATGTTTGCAAATCTTTGCCGTTCGCGAAATCGATCACAAATTGTTTTTAATTGTCGATGTACAGATAATGGGTCCGCCCGGACCTCCAGGACCCGCTGGTACTCCCGGATTACAGGGTCCACCTGGCATCAAGGGTGACAGAGGACACGACGGCGCCAAGGGCGATTCTGTCAGTAACTATTATCTATCTGTTGATCGCGTACATCACACGTAGAACGTAAAAAAAGCACGGTTACACCCGTTCGTGTTGTTACGCGACCGAAAATAAACGAGTTCTCTCCCTTTCCGGAGTTGTAAACATCAAATAACAAAATCGATCTGTTTGTCTATCGCTGTTTTGCACACAAAAACGCTATAAAAACTAAACCTTTTTTTATTTTAAGTGCATCTTCATCGTGCTATTATTGAATATTTAAAAAAAACCACTATAGCGAACTCGGTTTTACCGCAACGATAAATCTCTCTTTTTTTTTTTTTTTTTTTTTACATTATAATTTAGCTCGTGTGCCGCAGTGAACAATAAAAATGACAACGTATTAAATAAGGGAAAAATGACATTCGTTCTATTTAAATTTTCGAATATTCTGATCAGTCGTATGAATTGAAAAGGTGTAAATAAAATTAAAGAGATATTTGACGTAATCGCGAGATAAAAGTCAAAGTGACGAAGTGAACGCTAGTAGGTAGGACGCGTCGTAATTTTCTTCGCGCGCCCTTCGCGAGAAAGATCGCGTTAGCGATGCGACTCCCGAGGCGTGAAGCTATTCGCGTCGGTGATCTTTGCGAGATGACCTTTTTGCGTGCGCGACACCATCGCGATGCGGGTAAGCCCGTTCTCACGCGTCGCCCTTTTCTTTTTTCACGTTGCAGGGAGAGAAGGGTGCCAAGGAGATCCTGGTCCGATGGGACTGTGCCCGTACGTATTTTCTCTCCAGATTACACACGCACTCACACGCACGCACACTCGCGTATAGCCTTATATATATATAGTAAGCACGCTCTAAGCGCGGATGCAGGAAGACGCACAGAGACGGACGGGAAGCGAATATCCGGCGGATATTTTCCGAGAAAGAAAGTCCTGCAATCCTGTTTTCGCTCTTTTCTCCGGAAAATTCACGATCCGAAAATTCAAACGTAGCGTTTCTCGTCCCTTCGGTCCAGTTTAAGTAACTTGACTGCAATTTATGATATATTCAAGAAAAAAATAATGATGATTTCTCTTACACATATATTTTTTTGCAAGAAAAATTGCGGACTGAAAGGGACTCTAGAGTATTATGGCACGTGGTATAATTAACTTGAATTGGACTTTATCGCCAGAGCAAAGTAGGTACACGAGAAAGAAAGACGGGAAGAGGTGCGTGCGCAAATGTACGAAGGTATACACACATTGCAATCTCTCCTGCATGATAAAACGATACAAATACAAATACAAAATAATATCTATATAGAAGTGCATATCGTCCACCGAGCGGTAGCCAAGTTGCGTGCGGTATCGCCGAAATCCTGCCGAATCGTGAGACTCCCGCTGATGGGCGTTCTGTCTATCTAATTTCAGGGCCCCATGGGACTGAGGGGAGAGTCCGGAAAGCCCGGGGATTCGGCGACCTGGCGCCATGGTAAGAACGCGGACCTCCGCTCCTAACGCCATCGTTACTTGGCGTTGCCGCCGCGGAATTCGCTGATAATAAGCCGATAAGTGCGTTTATATTCGCGCGCGCGACAGTCGCAACGCTAGCTTGGCCGGCCACCTCTCGATCGCCACTCGGGTGAGAGCACTGCTCGCGTGCGTGTTGCGTGTACATATACATAAAATACAGCGAGGACTGATGAGACGAGCTCGAGGGGAAAAACATGTGGCGGTCAACGTTCGCGGTCGAGAGCGGCGATTCGAGAGGAGCGGCGCGCGAGAACCAACCATCATCGACATGTTTAGATCGTGTAGAAATGCCCGTCAGCTGCTGGATCCCCCGATCCTCTCCTCCCCCCGCGAGACGGATTTCGAGTACCGTCGATCGATCTCCTGCCAGGCCATGGTCGCTGCTATTCAATTTCGATATAATTAAGGTGTCTTAACGCGAAAACTCAACATTCGAGACTCGTTACGACTCGGGACACCGAGGTCGCGCGTTTTCCTCTTCGGTATCGGAAAGCGATATGTATACGATATATACATATATATATATATACAATCTGAAATATATATATATATATATTTATCGTACTTACAGAAGCGTGCATGCGCTCTGAAAGAATATTCGCTTCGACGTTGAGGAACGCGGTCTTCAACATGATATCTATCCGCGCGCAACTTCATCGTTGCTTCGCTCGAGAACGAAGCGCAGAGAGGCCGAATATAAATCCTCCTCTAGCTTGCGATCATAAATTTCCGCAACGTTTACAGACGCGGAGTGTCTAAATTCGTCAAGCGATTTAAATCGCGCCGATGTCTAACAATGATGAAGACTACAGGAATGCGGAAGGAACGTCTTCCAGTGTTGTTGAAATTCGTCGAGATTGATCGTAAGTGAGAATCGCGCCAAATTGGAATGATGAGCTATACAGGATGTTCGACGATTGTTCTCGGAAATATTTTAGGAGAGTCGCGACGAATTTAGAGGGTCTCCATATAAAAAAAATATTTCTGTAATTTTAAATATCATCTCTCAAAGTTATCGGGATTTTGCAGAGTCTCTCGATTCCAATTCTACATCCTAAAATATTCCGCGAATCCGACACATCCTGTATATCTGATGTCGCGCATAGCATAGAGCCGCTTATTTTGCAAAGGGCTCTAATAAATCAGATTTGATAAAATAACGGGAATTTAACGATTAATTGTTAAGGGCAAACAAAAAGAAATAATGATCGCGACGCCGCGTGTATCTATTTATTGACATATTCGAAATTACTTTCGAAATAAATTTCTCGTCTGCGCGTAACTTGCGCACGATCACACGCATGTTACGCCGTATCACACCACAACATCCGTCTCTTAACTACTCTATACGTATCGGCTAATAGTCAGCCGTTTGCGCCGACCGAGAACGTTAGATTCTCGATCGCGAGCGCAAGTATACTCAGAGAGTTTGGTGGGTCTAAGAAAAATAATGAACTTCGCCGTCCCGCTAAATTTTGTATCTCCGGCGTGATATGAAAAAAAGACGTACGGATTCCATTCTCTCCTGAATGAGTCACTTAGCGTAAGAAAGACTCCTTTATCTCTTATCGAATAAAACGTAAAGGCAACGCTTTAATTATCGCATATTTATAGCGTAATAAAGTAGAGTATGTGAGATATGTCGTTTCATTATCATATCGAATATTTGTCGAATAATTATGCGATTTTTTATTTTACTTTCGGATCTCTAGGTTCGGTATTCTAGAGAAATTTGCATAGAAGAGATTTACATGAAAAAAAAATTTTTTTTTTTTAATAAAAGACCAAAAATTAAACGGTGCAAACATGTGAAGATCGTAA